CAAGTAATTTACACTGACATGGATATATATATACAGATTGAACAGATTGATACAGTTAGTACTACCCATGATTGGATCAAGTCCACTGACCCCCAAGGCCCCACCAAAATAATTAACAACAGGGATTAAGGACTCATGTAATTTTGCTCCATGAAGTCTAGTTGTGACACTACTACTAATTACTGGCACATAACTGGTAAAATATGAACTATGTGTCATAACTTGCAGTCATTGGCATTTCCCTCCTAATTACTGAAAAGTTTCTCTAAGTTGCTGATACTTATAAAAATAGTGAACAATCAGTGCATTGGTGAACAGGAACAAAGAAACCTGCTTCTGTATACTTAGCCAGCCTTACTGCAGAAAACTTGAATTATAGTTTCTTCTCCAGATTACAATATACATCATAAATGTTTGTTCTAGGATTTCATCAATGGTAGTTATGCAGGGTGGGGCAAAAGTGAGCATGCAGTTTTTTCACTTAGAACATAGTTTAATTTCTATTGTCTTCCTCTTAAATAAACAATAATTAAATTGGTTTCAATTGACTTCATAATATTCTCTTTAGTAGCAATTATATAATTCCAACAATACCAACTGTACCATAACTTTATCCCCACTCTGTGTGTATACCCATGAAAATAATAATGAGACAAATTGCTCAAACAAGAAAAACACATAATTTCAGAGTAGTAATAAGTGGAGATCTGCAATATAAACATATATACTTATATATGTAGATATAACATCAGAAATCTTTATTAACCTACAAGAATCAATTTTTTTTTACAAGAAATAATTAACACACAAAAACAAATTTTTATTCTTGATACATTACAAAGACTAGTATTAACTAACATTTTTACAACACTATCAAAAAGTGAATAATTATATATAATTTAGAAGTTTCTTGTTAAATTAAGATTTATATTTTAGAAAAGCTGTTCTAGAAAATACTTAGACCTACTATGGTGATGAATGTCGCATACGATTTCATTTAAGTAGTTTATTCTGGAAGAATTGTGTAAACCACAAGTAAGGTGTTATAGCTATAAATATTAACAAATTATATCAATTGAACTTTTAAGCCACCATAAAGACATAAAAATTATCCTATTATATGTACTTTAACTTTTACTAATAATTGTAATGTAAAGAAAGATTTTTGTGAAGCTAACATACTTCAACAAACATTTATTGAATTTTGTATACATTTAAGCATTTATAATTATATAAGATTTATATAAACTAAGGACTGAAACCTACCTTAGCAAGTCTGGCACGTTTAATTAAATCATTCAACTTCCTGAGGGCAGCATTTTTTGGTAAACCTTGGATGTCTTGAAAAAGATCTTGTTCTTCTAATTCAAACAATTTTCTGTTGAGCTCGAATTTTAAAGGTTTGTCCCAAAAAGATCCAATGTAAACTCTTGCAACTTCAGGAGTTTGAAGAACTTTTCCCAAAGACCACATCAGAGCACCATAAACTCGCATGAGTTGTTGATGATCTACCATATCAGCTTTGTTCAAAACAATTCTAATTTTATCTTCATGGCCCCTTAAAGCCTCAATGCTTCGTCTAAATTCATCTGAAATATCTAGTTTATGAGCATCAAAGAGTAGAATAATTCTGTCAACTCTTTCTGCAAACCATTCTAAAACGCCAGTAAAGTCATAGCCTCTATCAACACGATGTTTTTCTCCAGATAAAATACCAGGACTGTCAATAATTGTAATATTTTTTAAAACATCTGACTGTACAAAAGAACATTGAAATCGGTTTAAAAAAGCATTTCCAAATTTTGAAAGTTGTCTGAATTGCTTCTTTGGGTCTACCACCAATGCGTTTCCAGGAATAATACCATCCTGTTCCCCATACATAACTGTAATGAACCGATCAGTTGTCGGTTCTGGTCCTATACGAATACCTGGAAAGTCTTTTTCTAACAAGTATCTAATAAATGTAGTTTTTCCAGTGGAATATTGGCCGACAAGTAAAATCATCGGCTTAGCATCGAAATCAGGTTCATCAAGAGGCGGCGAATGAAAATCATGAAAAAGATAGGCCTCTTCTAGTGGATAGACTTTTTCTTTGTATACTCTCTTCAATCCTTCAACAACATTTTCGAATATATCCGGTTGTTTACGACAATCTTCGTTTTTACTTAACCAAGAAAACATTATCAAATAGTATTTTGCCCAACTTAGTACAACACAATAGTTGAGTTGAAAAATGAAACGTGGAAAAAAATTTAGGATTTTCTATACCAGTCTTCGCTTCTTATGTAGAACTTTAACAAATTAGGAAGCCTTCGCAGATATTCAAACACTATACGTTCCCACAACAGCATAATACTAAAGCTACTGAAAGTTGCTTTTATTTCACCTCCCCCTTATCCCTTGACAACTGGTTTGGTTTCATGATAATTAGCGTCCTCTGAAGAGTGAATTTCAAATATAAATTAAGTTTTTTTACTCTAATGTTTTACGATGTTAAGTTAGATCATCAACATGGAATAAAAGTGTGCTTTTTAGAGCATAATCAAATAATCATGTTTACTACGATTCAACTTATTAAACGCTTGTTAACAATAATATTAACATTTTCTGTTGTACTTAACAAAGCTTATAAATTCACTTTATGTCTTAAGACTATAATTATAGTTCATCTATTTGGAATCTTTGCTATTCCAATTTTTTAAGCATAATTCAAAACAAACTTTTACGTAGTGTGACTGGCTATCCGAAATTATGCAACCCACTTCAATAATGACTTTTATTCGCAAAGGCTCCAACAGCGCACTTAGTTTTCATATGAAACATATGTGACAATAAATATTATATTGATCTTAGATAATCTGTAAATAATAACGACTCTAAAATATTTGTTGCTATGCTCAAATTTATTATACTGTTACGACAGCGGAAGTTACGTGGCGCTGGTAGCGTACGTGAAGTTTCCCGAATTATCGGGGAAGACCGAGTTTGTTCGAGACGCCCTCTTCTTTAATATATAAGCCTGGCAGGGAAGCCACCGAATAT